GACCGGTTCCCTTCCTCTGGGAACATCCCCAAAGTCAAGTGCTCCTTTAAAGGACCAATTCCCCTCCTTTGGGAACATCCCCAAAGCCACCCAAGGAGTCAAGTGACCGGTTCCCTTCCTTTGGGAACGTCCCCAAAGCCGCCCAAGGAGTCAAGTGACCGGTTCCCTTCCTTTGGGAATGCCCCCAGGTCACCCAAGGAACCGACTGCCCTCCTGAAGAACCAGGTCCCCTCCTTTGGGAACGTCCCCAAAGCCACCCAAGGAGCCAAGTGACCAATTCCCTTCCTTTGGGAACGTCCCCAAAGCCATCCAAGGAGTCAAGTGACCAATTCCCTTCCTTTGGGAACGTCCCCAAAGCCACCCAAGGAGCCAAGTGACCAATTCCCCTCCTTTGGGAACGTCCCCAAAGCCACCCAAGGAGCCAAGTGACCAGTTCCCTTCCTCTGGGAACGTCCCCAAAGCCACCCAAGGAGCCACCCACCCAACTCCCCCTCGGGATGGGACGACCCAGGGCGGGCCCAGGTGCCAGAAAAGGGGGTTTTTCCCCCCAAACTCCCCCCCATCCCCACCTGGAGCACCCCGAAGGTGCACTGGTAGCCCATGCGGACGAGGCAGCGCAGGGTGAGCTTGAGCACCATGGAGCGCTTGAAGGACACGAAGTTCCGGACGTTCTCCAGCAGGAAGAAGCGGGGCCGGTAATAGTCGCAGTAGCTGCCGGGCACAGGGGCAGGGGCACGTTGGAGGCGGGGTGGGTTTGGGCCTCCCCCGCCCCAAAAGGCCCCTCCCCGGCGCCCACCTGAGGAAGGAGACCACCAGGGAGTTCTTGAACTTGGAGTAGGTGCGGGAGTTGAAGCGGTTCATGCCGCTGAAGCCCTGGCAGGGGGGGCCCCCGCAGAGCATCTCCACGTCCCCCTTCTGGGGCAGCTTCTGGCCCAGCGAGTTGGTTTTCTCGCCGGCCATGACCAGCTTGAGCAGCACGTTGCAGTCCTCGGTGAACACCGTGGTGCCGGGGTTGTTGAGCCGGAACGCCTGCGCCGCCGGCTCCCACATCTCGATGGCCCACAGCGTCTCCGAGACCCCTGCGGGCACCCACAC